GTGTCAGGACCCTTTCTTCCAGTGGAAGTGATCTGGTACAAGGCCTTAAATCCATTAGGGTGTGGCAGCACAGGATTTTTTTTTTTCCTGTTGCCTATCTTTAGAAACTGAGCCAAGGCTGTCTGAAGTAGTGTCAATTATATTGGTGACAGAGGTGGTAAAATTAATTTGTCTTTGGCTATATTTTGTTTTGAAGACTTTTGGAGGAGAATAAAGCTCTGAAAAAGATTTTTCATCTTGCAGCAGCACAATGCTGAATTATTTTATAAACTTTCTTGCAGTTTTCTACCTCAAATTTATTTTAGACAACTAAATTAAATTTCTCCTTCACTGGAAGATGTAGAAGTTAGAGGAAATTGATCTTGATCTCTTCCTCCTGTAGGTGGTTTGTCTGCTGGGCCAAATCTGAAGTTCAGCAGCCTGAAACTTGGGGATCAGCACAGCTTCACTCTGGTTCAAACTTTTCTATTGATGAATTAACTTCTCTGCTTCTTATGGTATTCAAATTGCCATACAGAATAGTGCAAACACCCCCAGAAATGTTTCCTGGTAGCTGTTTGCGTATGTATATAGCTTCCAGCGTACCATGCATTGAGGGATTTATTTTGCTTTCTGCAGCTAGGAATTCTTTTCATAGCATTCCCCTTGTGATTCTCAGATGGACTGTTGTAAGCAGCACAAATCTGATTTTGTTTTGAATATGTCAGTCTTTCTGTCAGTTGCTGGCTCTAGCAGATGGGGGGACAGATTGTAAACAAAGTGTGAGAGAGCATGCTTTATGTAGAATATGTCAAAGAGTTACACTTGCAAACTAACTTCAGTTTGACTTGTATGGAACAATGAAACTAGAGCACTTCAACGGTGCTGTCTTGGACCCTTTGGCTAGCAAATCTCAAGCCAGAATAAAAGGTAAAGATGAGCAGTACTGGAATTACTTTTGTTGCAGCTCTGAGGTGATTACTGTCAGACATGGACAAAAGGTCTCAGTATCTGTGTTTACTTTACAATGAATCCTGGGTTTAATAGTAAAATATATGGGGTAAGAAAAAGGCTTATGTCTTCTAATCTTGGCCTTTTATTTTTCTGAAGGCTGTTTTGATTGTTTGTAGAGATGAATGGAATGTTTTTGTCAGGCAGTACTCTCAAAACTGCAAGAATTACCCTTCATCTGGACAGTCTTCCTATTTTCAGGCTTGCTCAAAGCCACTTGGGATAAGAGAGGGGAAGGAGGCAAGACTGTCAAGGGGGTATTTATGAATCAGTCCTAATTTCCTAGTATCAGGAGAGGTTTTCCATAAACAATTTAGAGAAATTTATGTATTAGCCATTTTAAAATGGCCCTGTTGGGTAACAGGTTACCTGCTTTTCTTAACCTGATTTTCTTGTTTGTGGCAAGAAAGTAAGTTGCATATCTAGAGGAAAATGGTTGTGCTGTGTCTTATTCTTCACTTGAACAGAGAATTCTGAAATCAAGGTGTAGATAGTAAAAGTAGCAGCAGTGCCAGGGAATTTGACCAAACAAATGATTAGAAGGTGGAAGAAATCATTAATGTCCAAGAAATTAGTGGCTGATAGAGATAAGAGGCTGATTAAAAGTTCAATTGCTTCAATTCAGTACAAATGAAGCCCTTAAGTTGTTGGTTGACATTGTGAGAAATTTACTTACTTGGCATCTGGATGAGGTAACAGATAAGAAATAAACATACACTGTATATTTTCAAAAAGGGTTAATCTTAGCAACGAGCATTACTTCTTTGCACAGAATGCAATGACTTTCTAAACAAGCATGTAAATATAAACTGTGAGCATGCTTTCCATGCAGTTTGATGTGAAGACCCTGAGCTTTGTTCCTGGTGGCATGCAGGATACTCTGATCATTAAACCCAGTTTAAGGGTGTGTTTTGTCTATGAAGTGTTTTATAAAATTATTGCAAGGAAGTTAACTGGATATTTGTAGACAATTCTTGAGCTTTACCACTTAGAAGCAAATCTTTTTATAATGACTATAATGCATCGTATATTTGTAGTTTATAATTTTCTTGGTATTTATTTATGCTGATGTCTTGCCATTTTATTGTGCTAGGCTTTGTGAAGGAAAAGATAAAAGTCAAGTCTCTGCAATATATTAATTTCCTAGTTCATGGTGTGCTGTGTAGGAAACCTGTCTAGTGGTTAAAGTTGGGTCCACTTGTGTAGAGGGATAAAGTACTGGAATGGTCTGCCGGTGGAGGTGGTGGAGTCACCATCCCTGGATATGGTATTGGGTGCCATGGTTTAGATGAGGTGTTAGGGCATGGGTAGGACTGGATCTTGAAGGTCTTTTCCAACCTAGTGAAAACACAAAATTGAACATTCTGGATTGATTAATACAGTGTTTTCTACCAAGGATGTGACTCAAAAGCCTGTCCTTGGACTGGAAGTAGAAGAGTGAGTGCTCAGTAGCTTCATTCCTTTTGGCTGATTGTTGTTTGTGTGAGTCACTAGGGTGATTTTTATTGTCAGATCTGAGTTCTCATCGAGTTCAATCTAGGTGGTACCTAGCTAGTTTATTTTGCTTGCTTGTGGAATGCAGCTTCTTTAAGGATGCCTTCTTATTTGAAGTGTTTGGGACAATATGACTTCCACTTACTACTTTGGAAGAATCCTGAATATTTGAGTTTTTTAGATCAGAAAACAGAATGTGTTCTTGAAATGTTACATTAACAATTACAGCAAGTCTGCCAGGCTGTAGTAGTATAAGAGGAGAAAATATTGCTGCCACTTGCTAGGGTCGTCTTCTGCATGTCTGATACCTGGCTTAAAGATGTAAAGAGCAGACTTCCTACCCTGGGACAATTCTCAGACTTTTCAGATAGACAGCAGTGAAGTTGCAACAAGAACTCTAAAGGTAATGAAGAGACTTCAGGGACATGGGGTGACTGGTTAAGAGATCAGAAGCTGAAGTAGTTTTCACACCTTTTCTTTCCAGTTCCAAGAAATTATGAAGGAATAAACAGGAAGAGCTGACAGATCAATACTTGGCTCTGAGCCTGGTGTCAGTGGCAATTTTTATTTTTTTTTTAAACAACCTAGTGCTGGGTTTATATGACATCAGAGCTGTTGGTGACAGACATGGTACACCTGTCTCAGAAAGGGAAACGTATCTTTGCTAATACCAGAGTTACCAGGTCTTCTAGAGAGAGATTTGAAAAGGAATAAAACCAGGGGGGCAGCATGCCAGTGTTTGAGGGATGGTGTGCTAGTGAGGTCCTTCAGTCTGATATCTCAGTGAAGGTAGGTGATAGAGATCCATGTGGCAGCAAAGAAAAAAGGGTCCCTGTGTTAGAAACCACAGAATTGCCTGGTCACATAAGAATTAGGGCTTCTAGCAAAAAAAAAAAAAGATGGTGGGATCAACAGCCCAACCAAGTGCATTTGTCTGAATGCATGCAGCAAGGCAGCAAGCAGGCAGCCAGTCACAAGCCTTCTTCCCAAGGGCTGGAGCCAGTTCTGTTCAGCAGTGCCTGAGACAAGGGGATCAAGTGCATCCGCAGTGGTTTGGCAGGGCACAAAGAGTTGGCTGAGGGTGCAGATCTGCTGGAGTGTGTGGGGGATCTGCTCTGCAGGGGGGTCCAAAGAGGCAGGACCAGTGAGCTGAGGCCCAAGGTACAAGATTCAGCAAAGCCAAGTGCTGGGTCCTGCACTTCAACCACAACCCAGGCAGTGCTGCAGCTTGGGGGAAGAGGGCTGCAAAGCTGCCCCATGGAAAAGGACCTGGGAGTGCTGCTCTGACAGCTGTCAGAACATGAGCCAGTGTGTACCTAGGTGGCCAAAATGACATCCTGGCCTGTATCAGCAATAGTGTGGCCAGCGGCACCAGGGCAGTGATGGTCCTGCTGTACTTAGCATCTCGAATCCTGTGTCCATTTCTGGGCTTCTCCCAACAGGAAGGACATTGAGGGGCTGCAGTGTGTTCGGAGAAGGGCAACAGAGCTGGGGAAGGGTCTGGAGCACAAGGCTGATGAAGAGAGGCTGAGGGAGCTGGGGGTGTTTAGCCTGGAGAAAAGGAGGCTCAAGGGGAACCTCGTTGCTCTCTACAACTACCTGCAAGGAGGCTGTAGCAAGGTGAGGGTCATGCCCTTTTCCCATGTAATAAGCAACAGAACAAGAGGAAATGGCCCTAAGTTGCATCAAAGGAGATGTAGGTTGGATATTAGGAAAACTTTCTTTAGTGTAAGTGTTGTCCTGCATTGGAATGATGTGCCCAGATAGGTGGTGGAATCAGTGTCTCTGGAGGTATATAAAGACCCTTATGGTGATTAGGGAGATGGTTTCGTGGTGCTATATTAGTGGTTGGACTCATCTTAGAAGTGTTTTCTGATCTAAACAATTCTATGACTCTGTGATTTTACACTCAAATGTTTGGATTAATTTGTAACCTAAAATTGGGTTATAGTGAATCTCATGATGTGCATTTAAATGTGTGTGTGTGTGTGTCTCACCATTACTGCTTTCCAGGTTCCTCCTGTGTGCCAATCTTAAGTGACCAAATCTTTTATAGAGACTGGTATTTGAAAGAATGCAAAAGTATTCTCTTCTGTTTTTAACTACTGAAGGTTGCTTGAGGCTAGTATTGAAATTTCTTTCAGTTCAAATGAAAGCTTATATATTTATAGAAGACCAATATAGTAGATCAAATAAATTCCATTTAAATAATCTTAGCAAATTCCACTGCTTTGTTTTCTTGATGGTCTTGTTAAGTAAGCGTTAAATTAATTTAATGTTGGGGTCAGTATTGGCAGTGCTCTCAGTCTGACACAATTTTTCTGCAGATAATTCTGCTGAAAATGACTTAATTTTCTTAGCTGTGATTTGATTTGATGTAGGCTAGTGCATCTTGTAATGCATTATGTTTAAGTCATTTACAGTTGTATAAATAATAGCTTATTGAAATTAGCATTGTTTTTTAATTGTATTTTTAATCTTATGGTGGCAAATGTATTCCTTAACTTTCCTGTCAGTCATGTTTATAACTACTGTACCAGTGTACACCAATCTAATCAAGCACGGGGAGCTGGAGTACCTCCTTCTAAATCAAAAAAGGGCCAGACACCTGGAGGTGCTCAGTTTGTTGGCTTGGAATTGTACAAACGGCTAAAAGAATTTCTGAAGAACTACTTGACTAATCTCCTTAAGGTAAGATGGGGTATGAGATCAATCTGCACTTGTAGTAGCATAAACTGGGGTGAGAAGAAAAGCTGTATCAGTAAGACTAGAGATGTATGCAGCCACTGGATGTAAACTGAATAATCTTAAAAGGTGCTTTTGTCTCCGTAACCATTAGGATGTTTTGTTGGCCTTACCTCAGACATAGATCAGTCCCTAAGCTTGCACCTGTGAGCTGCTTTTCCTCTTCAAGCCAAAACAACATTCCTGTGTTTAATGGAAGTAATGTTACGTGACATCTGAAGCTGTCCTGTACTTGAACAAGAATAGCTAGACTTTCCAAGCAATTAACCAGCATATTAGGAATGCTGAAAAAATGGATGCGTGTCATGTTGAAAATGCCTTTATTTTAGTTTTAAAAATAAACTACTAGATAAAATATAGAGCTGGATGTTGTCTTGCATCCAGAGGGACAGGGTTGTCTTCTGGAGCTTCATCTGCGCTATGCATTTTTTTCCCAGCCTTTTAATTTCAAAGTCTCATACTGGCTTTGTGCTTTACTAATGTAGAACTAAATGTATTAGCAGTGTGTTTCCTGTAAATACATTGCATGGTGTGGGTTTATTACAGAGTCAGTTTGTATACCCTGATATGTCTTGGTTGTAGCTTAAAACGACACAACAGTACTGACAAACTTGTCATTTCAGGATGGTGAAGATTTGATGGATGAGAGTGTGCTGAAATTCTACACTCAACAGTGGGAAGATTATAGGTTTTCAAGCAAAGTATTGAATGGGATATGTGCCTACCTCAATCGACATTGGGTTCGTCGTGAGTGTGATGAAGGTCGTAAAGGAATATATGAAATTTATTCAGTAAGTAGCTTTTTGAACTGAGTGATTTGTCCATTCCATCTGCCATGTTTGCATTATCATTCTATAGATCACTCCTTGAATCTTGTAGGAGGTTCATAGACATTCTGTAGAAGTGGGCAAAGTGGCATTCGCACTTCTTTCCCTACTCCTACCTCAGTATATTTGTAAAAATTCCAATGTCTGCGTCTGTGAGATGTTTGATCTGCCTTGTATTATTTTTATGTTTAATCTGCCTGTATGTATTGGAACTTCAGCAGTAGACTGTTGAGGGTTGTCTGAATGCTTGAAATGTCTGAATTTGCTGCTTGGTGTTATCTGTGTGCCTCAGCATGGCCTTGTCATCCCACTTAAAATTCAGCTAAGCTTTTCAAACACCAAATGAAGCAGTAAATAATATTTTTTTTCTGAATTCAATACATTTCTACAATTTTTTTTGCATCCAAGCTGCTAAGATTCAGACAACATTTGGTTTGTGGTGTAAGTTATTTTGGTGCAGTTCTGAAAGATTGATATGTGATCTTGATAATTTTTTTGCAGTGTGAAGTAATATAAATAAGAACTTAACAGTACTTCTGTATCCCAGATAACTAAAAGATTTTTTTTAAAATATAGGATAATTATTGTCCTTACTGGTAAAGCGTTAGGAAAGTGCTGTTCTATTTTCCTGCTTCACTTCGTAATTCTGCATATGGTAGAAAAACAGTTGATATCCTTACTTCCTTTCCTCTTGACTTTAGCAGCCTAATGCTAAGGGACTATGTCAGCTTGGAAACTGCCAACAAAAAAAGCTGTGTGTTTTCAAAGTCACTCAAAGTGGGTTTTGTTAGTTTCCATAGCTGGCAGTGGATCCTCTGCTAGAAAAAGGAACAACATAGTAAAGGTAGTGGTAAACCCAGTTGTAATTTTAATGTGAAACAGTCTCATTGCTTGAGAAATGTGTGTGCCAAAATAGAGTTTTAGAAGTTATCATTAGTTTGCATACTACACCAGCTTTCCTTAAAGGGAATTACCCTACACGTATATGTGTATATGTAAATATTTTCTTCATTCCATCTTTCTTCTCCCTTCTTTTACTTCTAGCTTGCCTTGGTGACCTGGAGAGACTGTTTATTCAGGCCATTAAATAAGCAGGTATGTGTATATTAATATATTACAACTATAGTGTTATTTTATAGGGTTAATTTCATATATTGTAAGTAACTGCTTCAGGGAGCCTGGGGGGATGGGGGCGTGGACAGACCTGGAAAATAAAATGGAGCCTTCTGCTTCTGCTTTGGGATACTAAAAAAAGATAGATATTTGAAGGAATAAGCCTTTGTGTGTGTGATTGAACCTTGATACCAAGACTGTTCTGTTATCTCTCTGCTGAGAGGACCCTTGGCTTTTTTTTTTAAAGCTAAGGGGACTTGAAGTAGCCATTTCAGTGGTACTAAGCTAGGCAGGAGTACAGGCTGATGACAGTCATGTCTTAAGGTTTGGGAGTCAAGATTGGATGGGAACAGATAGGGACAGGCCAGGATTTTACTGTGGGTTGTTAAATTTACACTGATGCCTTGGAGACTCAGGTCAGCTAAATGTTTAAAATTAGTGAATCAGCACAATACAAAACAATTCCATCACAATTCTTAGGTACATGTGTAGGTTGATTTCACTTCTTATCAGTAGTTCATGATGAAGTGGTTGCAGCAGATTATTTGTCCAAAGAACAGGTGGTTAGCTCAGGTCTTGCTACAGTGTTTTGTATTTCACATATAAACAAAAAGAGCAGTTTGGCTTTGAAGGTGTTCTTTTGAAATTAAAGAAAAAGAATACTAAGCAACTTTAATATACATCTACACCTTACCACTAATCAGACTGTAATTATGTTGTATAACTTAAAGGAGTATCATTCTCTGTAGAAACTTTGTGTTCACTTAAATGTTGTTCTCAAGGTACCTGACTTTTCTTGAATATGGAAATAGACTCCTAATTAAGTATGGTGCTTGATCTACCAGCTGCTTTCTCTGTGCTTGACTTAACTTTTAATCCCTGTTTTCTAAGGTAACAAATGCAGTGTTGAAATTGATTGAAAAGGAAAGAAATGGTGAAACTATCAATACAAGGCTGATCAGTGGAGTTGTACAATCCTATGGTAAATGTGATTTCTTTAAGATTCTGTTACTTTCTTAAAAATAAATAAATTTGTGTACCTTATCAGAGCCCAGAATATCCCACCTCTTCATATGTCCAGTAAAGATTTTTTTACAGTAATGTAAATGCAGTTCTGTATTGTTTAACTTCACATTTGACTGATACTTTATACCATAACAGATGATTATACTGTATTTGTGAAACTTGAGAGTGCAACTGATAGACAAGAGTGTTCATCATTTACAAATCAGTTATTAAGGAGCTAAATCTGGAAGTGGGTAAGGATGGTAGCTTGCATAGCACAGTGGGGTTGCTTTTTCCCTTTTGTATAATACTGAGAGCATTGCCATCCAAATTATTGACTAGTTTCATCAATAAAAGCAAAAGCATATAATCTGGAACTCGTAAGAGGGAAAAATGAAAGGAGAATTTGAACTAGCCTTTGAAATGGTGAAGTTTTCCAAACCCTACAATCCTACATTTAAGAAATGTATCTAAAAGTGTAGTTGACATTAGTAATGTCTTGTGCTGATAGTTTTAAAATGCAAAATCAATGTACTTTTTTAAAAGTGGTGCTGATGCAGTCCCAATTTATTGCTTTTATCTAAGTTAGGAGTGTTCTTGTTTATTTGCAGGAGACCACTTCATAACAACCAGTTTTTTTATTTCTTGGTCTTTGTTTGTTTGATTGTGGTTTTTTTCCTTTAGTGGAGCTGGGGCTGAATGAAGATGATGCATTTGCAAAAGGACCTACACTAACTGTCTATAAAGAATCCTTTGAATCTCAGTTTCTTGCTGACACAGAGAGATTTTATACACGAGAAAGTACTGAATTCTTGCAACAGAACCCAGTCACAGAGTACATGAAGAAGGTAAATTACTTAATCTTCTTTGTGATTTTTGTTTTTCTGGATACCGATTTTTTTAGAGACAAAGGAATATAAATTCTAGGCTTTTATTGTCAGTTTCTTAAAATGATGGTTATTTTACAGAAGCAGCCAGTTTTCCCTGTAGTGGGTTGCTTCTCTGTTTATCTGGTCTGGAGTTTGTCTCCTTACCACCTTTCAGTGGACCTTTCTGAACAGTCAAAACAGAAGATTAAGTTAAAATAATTTCAGATTTTTTTAGACTTCAAGACACCAAAAAAATAATTCTGCTTTAATACCACAAGTTTACCATTCCTATACAAGGAACAGGGTTTTGACACTTGTATTGAAGTACCTTCCTGAGCAAGCTGGCTAAGGAAATACATCATTAATTAACTTTAATTCTCTCAGAATATTTTAGTGTCATGAACCCCTACAAAGTACTTCTCATCAACAGAGGCCAGATTTAAATTCTTAACTTGTCTCTAGTTTTGGGGATCCCAGACAGGGCAACTAAGGGCAAGCAGGATAAACATTGGCTATTTCTGGCCAGGTTATCAGGTCAGTCCTACTGACCCGGTAGTAGATAGGTCATCTTCCACCTTGTACAAGTGCTGCTTCATGTATTTTATTCTCAGTACTTTTCTTCACTTTCTGAATCGCTGCTTTTTTATTCCCTTTCAGTTTAGTTAAAAAATAAGAGAACTTTTCAAGTATGTAATGTGCAGTACACATCCCTCCCTGAAATATTCTTTGCGTAATGCTTTTTACCACAGAACACATCCTTTCTTAACTCTTGGCATTAAAGTCAATTAATTACCCAAAAAAAAAAAAAAAGATTGGAGGGGAAGTCCTAGAAATAACACAGTAAAAGGAATTGTGCCTTTAGTAGTTTCCCAATAATTACCAGACCAACCTATGTTTACTTTTCTGTTGGTGAATTAATTATTTTTTGCTACTTCCCTTTCAAGTTCTTGTTTTAACTTTCATCCTAATGTATGTATAAAGAGGAATTTCAGTCATTCAGAACCTGAATGACTGGCTCATGCAGACTTCCTTGGTACAGGGCAGTAGGAAGCTGTCTGAAGGTCATTGCTATTTCAAGAACTAGAGATTACAGGCAAGTAGAAATAACTGATTAGTACCCCAAACAATCCTCAAGGCTTCAGAAATCCACAAAACAGCAATTTGCTTTGCTTGAAGCTGAAAGCACATACAAAGTTAGCAGTCAGCAGGGGAAAGCTGTTCAGCAGGAAAGCATGTAGCCTTATGTATCTGCTCAAATTAATATATTGGAGATGTATAGAAGCCATTTGGGCACTCTTGGCATCTCCTTACACACTAGTGGCTGTAAGATCTTAAAAGTAATCTGATGGAAGCATGAACTGTGAACAGAGTAATCTGCTGTTAGTACACTTACTTGACATTCTCACTGGAGCACTGTACTTTGAGTTCTGTCTGGCGATAAATAGCATTGCAAAATCAAAAGAAACCTTGGAGTACCCTAGGGCACACCAGCATAGCATGACTGTTACCCTGTTACAGGAGAATTGTGGTAGTGTCTTGTAGAATAATGAATGAAGTCTTAACTAGAGCTGGGATTTGTGCATGTGGTTGTATAGGCAGACTTACTGAGTTTAGAAGGATTGTGAATTTTTCTTCTCAGGCCAGAACTCATGAGTAAAGTTGGCATAGCCTGATGTGCTGTAGGGAAAAAGGTCAGTATTTTTTAAGACTGTTCCTTGAAATATAGTGTTCCACTGAACTTTTTGTCTTTATAGTTGAAACAAGTAAAGATACTCTTGTGTGAACTAATTATTTTTCCCTTGTTTCTGAAATGTGACTTTAAAAGGAAAATGGAGTTATACGAACACCAAATAAAACAGAGAGTATAAGGAAACATGAAGTTAGAGTAAATATTTCTTTTCATAGAAGAGCTCACAATGAGAGTTGACTGTTAACATTAAAAGTGAAAGTCTAAGGATATTTTAAGATGTAGCATCAGAAGTAGTGGAATTTCCTGAACTACAGAAATACAGAATTGATTAAATACAGGCTAAGTAGTTCCAGTGTTCATAAGAAAGATTTGCTGCTATTTCCTCTTAAGTAAGGAAGTTGTTATTTCTTACTGGTAAGAAACTGGCAAGTACTCTGGAGCTGGAGCTTGTATCCCTTCTCAAGTTACTGATTTCATTTCCTATTTTTTGATCAGTACTGGTTTAGTTCTAGGAAACAGTAATCCAGGACCATTTCACAAGACCTAAGTGTAAAATCATTGCAGAACAAGTGAAGCTAACAGTGACTTAGATGATTTAAAGCTGTCTATGCATGGTGCAGTGCACTTGCAGTGTAGCTGTTCCTTTTTTATTGTCCAGAGTATGATCTTTCATGCTTACTTGTTACTCTGGCATATTAAGACAATGAATTAACTTAATTCCATTTTCTTAATGATGTTGTTAATTTAAATAATTCGGGCTGATAAGAAGGCATACACCCTTTATCCCTAATAATGTGCTGCAGTTACAAATGGTTTGTAATGTGAATCCTTAACACTTCTGCAAATGAAATAGAGGTAATTGTTATGTAAACAATTTCAGTTTTACATTTCGCCATAAGTTCTATTCCTTGAGTGACATTTAGAATTTTAGTTTGCCAGGAAGATACGCATATGTAGCATTTCATATGCCAAATTAAATGGGAGTATAATTTAAATGACTGTAGTTTATTGGGAAGCTTTTCTGTGTAAGAATGTAGATGAGGCTATTCAAATAAATTTGTCATGGGCATAGTGTTAAATTGTAGTTTCCTGCCTTTTAGTTTTGTGGAGCTATGAAATACATTCATGTTTGTCTTAAACAAAACTACCCCTGTAGCTGGAGAGCTTGCTGATCCTGAAACTGCCAGCATCTCATGTCAGAGGCTTTCTCTTTTTCTGACAGCAGATTTCCATCTGTAAACTCCTTATTCATGAGCAAGAGGAAAACAGTTTTGCTGTGATTCTCCCCCACCATTTAAACAGCACATTGTATTTTCATCAACATAAACATCGATTCCAAATGTATATTATGATTCCTGGAAAAATAACTGCTAAAGTAGGTGGTTCACAACACCAGTCTAGAGAGAAGTTTGCTTCTTGTTGTTTTCTAGAAGAATTGACTGAACAGTCACCAGTTTTCTGTTTTCTGCTGTTGGATTTGTGTTCTACCTTCCCTGTGGGTTTCATGTTTATCTCTGTGTTTCCATAGGCTGAAGCTCGCCTTCTTGAGGAGCAGCGTAGAGTTCAGGTATATCTCCATGAGAGCACACAAGATGAGTTAGCACGAAAGTGTGAGCAAGTACTCATCGAAAAACATCTGGAGATATTTCATACAGAGTTTCAGAATTTGTTGGACGCTGACAAAAATGAAGGTAAGGAGTTTCAAACGCTGGCTTTAGGCCTAGAGCTCTCCTCCCTGATGAATTGTGAATAATGCAAAATCTGGTGCTAGCTAAATGTCTTGTGTTCAGGAATTAGGTTAAGAGAAGATAGTCACTAAACTGATGGACAAGCAGGTTTTAATGAAATCAGGATGGCTGATGATACTGCTTCAAGGACCCTACCCCAATCCCAGATATTAAAGCAGAACAGCACAATCAAACAGTTTGATTTCTCTTAACATAGCTGGAAGAGTTTCAAGAGCACTTGAGCCATTTTTCCAGCAGGAGCTGAATCTTGTGTGGGAGAGGTGGGAGGTGAAAAACAGACCAGTGCTTTTTCCAGGTCTTTCAGTTTAATCTGTGGATCTTCCTGAGTCAGCACTGAGAATTTTAAAATCCAAAATGTTCAAAAGTATGTGTCAGAAATGTTAAAAGAGGAAGAGATGCAAATAAGTAGCTTTTAAAATAGAATATATATAAAATACATAATATTGCATATAGAGCACAAGGAAAGAGTGGAAATTATTAATTGATGAGTTAATTTTGGCTGTGAAAATGATTCTTATATATTGTCATAGAGAACACATAGAATAAAGACTTCTTCAACACTACCTCTGAAATAAGTGAAGATTATCAGAGTTTAGGTATCTCTAAGGAATTGTCAGTTGTGTTGGTTTCTATTAGTTTCTTCAGGAGTTTATAGAGAGCACAAAATAACAGCCAGAACTAATTCCTGTGGATCATGCAGACGATAAGGATGAATCATGATTCTGATTTGCCAGTTGGGGAACTAATTAAATCTGTATTTCAAGTCTGAGTATGGCAGTATAGCTCTTCTGAAAGGGGCAGAATGAAAGAGATGCTGTGGTTAAGTTACTAACGATAAAATTGGTCATTTGAGAGTTTTAAATTGTAACTATGACTCTGTGTCATTGTATATTGGTCTTAAAATAGCAACTACAAATTATTACTATCTGTAATAGTCATGTTGATAATGAAAAGATGCTTTGAAATCAAAAAGGGCAATTGAGCATGATTAGTAGGTCAGAAGTTAGCTGATTCAAATGTAAATAATCTGTACTAGTATTTGAGTCAGATGTTGTTTGTGTTTGTAAATATTTACTCCATAGTTGGAAGAGATTTTAATGGGTGTTGGTTTGTGAAGTGACTTCATAAATGACTAAATGACTTCTGACAATTGAAATAGCAATAGAAAAAAAAAAGTTTTTTCTGGACTCAGGACACCTTCACAGACTTTTTTTTTCCTCCTACTTTATCATGCTCATGGGTTATGTGAGCCCTTAGTACAATCACTTGCCATAGTGATGCAATTCCATAAGTTTGTCAAAGTAAAAAGGAAAAGAAGTATCTTGTGTCTTGGACACTGTCTAGTTCTGTGTCTTTGGGTTTAGTTTCATGTGGATTATTTCTAAGATTAACTAGACTTTCTCTAAAATGCTTAATTTTTTCTTCTTTTTCAAAATATTTTTTTCCTCTATTATCAAGCTTCACTTATGGAAATTGTAGCAGTTCCCTTGCCCTTTTTAAGATTCATGAGGTTTCAAGATTAGAAAATGTATTTTCAGTGGCCGCCTGATAATTCACTCTTTAATCACAGCAATCAGTTCATTCTCCAATTTGTGATATACTAGTATAGCCTTTGGTATACTATCCTAAACTTACAATAAAAGGTTGCTCTTGATTAAAATATTTATTGCTTTGCTCTTGAAAATACACTGGTTTTGAGGTCCTTCCATGCAAACTGTGTTGGAGAATATCATATTACAGGCCACTCTTGTTGGTGTTCTGTAACTTTTTAATCCATTGTGCAACTAATGCATAAACTGGTTATAAAGGTTGTGGGACACATTCCTCATGTGTTACATACTCACATCAGTGTAATACCTGTAGGAAATAATTGGGTCTTTTGGGAGAAGGCTGTAATGATGTAGGTGGAGTTACCATGCAAATCTTCCATAAGACTTTGTAGCATCTCTTCCTTATTTCCCCTAACACAGGCATTCTTGTAAACCAACCTGTGAACACTTGTTTGTGGGTAAATACAGCAGCAGCTTGTATCTATGCATGGCATTAGTTTCCTACCTTTTTGCTAAAATTCTGTCAGTTATTCATATGTTCTTATAAAAGTTAACATCAGGTTGCAATCATGGTTTTTCACAGAGAAAAAAAAAAGTTTCAATTTCTAATCTGCAAGTTTAAGTTTTACAAAGTTTTAAGGAAAGGAAGGTGTTACACAGAAACCTAACTGAACTGTCATCCCTTCAGTATTAGAAGGTATCAAACTCTGTGTTGTATTTCAGAGTTAGGTAGAGCACCAGCTCATTGATTGCTCTGTTTTGTTTAATCTGATAATCCTCTGGTGGTAATAAATTGCTCACAAACCCTTCAGAGAAGTCCTTGCACCTGAGAAGAGTTAGATGCAGCTGTCAACCTTTCCATGTGTTCCACAAGGTGAAATATGCTCCTTAGTTTACAGTAAATAATCTGATTGTTTACTGTTTGACTGGAGTGCCTGTTCAGTGAGGGCAAGATTGCAAGAGGTGACTGGCAGGTTTGTGGACCTGGTTTATGGCCAATTCAATGTTTGCTTTTTTTTGGAAGAATTCTACTCTCAGAAAATACAAAGTGTCTATCCTTTGAAACTAAATAATAAAAACCAAAACCCTCTTCAGTATTGGACTTTCCAAAATTGCTGATTGATTTGGAAAGTCTTGGCTAAAAACTGGTGAGATTTTAATATGAAGCCTTAACATATGTGAAATGACACACAGTTTTACCTTCATTGATTCCATTGTAATGCTTTTCAGAACCTCTTTTTTCTTCCAGATACAATTATTACTACTGGTAATCAGTCAAAGTTGGTTTTTTTTTAAGAGATGTCTTTTACTGACAGTGCTTTATTGAAGGAAATTTGATTTATAATGTTTCAATTTACCTGCTAAGGTCGTATCAACATTTTGCTTTAAATTTCCAACTGTTACCACTGATGCTGCCCAAAGTAAGAGTGTTGGTATACAAAGGGCTACAAGTAATGTTAGATATTTGAGAACTGACCTGTTCAGAATAAGATTTAAAGAACAGTGGTCAGCTGAGAAATGTTATACTTGTAGCACAGGCAGCAGTAACTTTAATAAGAGTCTCAAATTCATGGCAGCACCTCAAAATCTTACTTAAATAAGAGAGGTTTAACACCATTTTTAAATCATTGCTTTAAAACTGCAAAAACTAAAAATCAGAAGTAATTTTTCTGCCATTCAAATGGTGGGTTTTTATTCTTGAGTTTGTTTGCATTGTGAAGGTAAAAAGTTGATCCTAGTATAACAGGTTGTTTTGTCTTTAACTAGTGTTAGCTTTCCAGGTAAGTGCAAAGGTTTGCTGTATAATCGTTTACTATTGTTTTTTCTGGCTTTTTACAGGAGCAGTTGCATATGTGTTTTTGTTGACAATGGATGTTTAGCTCCTAAGTTGACAACTTGTAAATGAGAATTTTAAGTAATGGCCAGGGAGATGTTAGTTTTCCTTTTTTTTTCTTTTTTACAGACTTGGGTCGCATGTATAACCTTGTATCTCGAATCCAGGATGGCCTTGGAGAGCTGAAAAAACTTTTGGAAACTCACATTCATAATCAGGGTCTAGCTGCAATTGAGAAATGTGGAGAAGCTGCACTAAATGCAAGTATCCCATCAAAACAAGTCTCAGTGTGCTGCCACTTTTACATTAGAGGATAGTGAATGTTTCCTGATAAAACTTCTAGTTTGTTTGTTTTTCCTCTCACTACTTTAATTTGTAAGGACTTGGCAATTCTCAAATGTTGGTAGAAGGTTTAAAACAAAATTCACATCACTCTTTTTCTGCTTTTTAAATTTTGGGGGTCTTTGGGGTGTGTTTTTGTTTTCATTTGGTTTGGGCAGGTTGTAGGGATTTTTTGGCTTGGTTTTGAGGGGGAAGGTGAGTTTCCTTCTGAGATTTTGCTCTCTGTCAGGATGTCATGCTGCTTGGAAAGCTGACTGTGCAAATACCACACCCAACACTTACAATACAAGTACACCTGAAAGTCCACTGTTTCAAGAAGCATTATCTCCAGTCAACTGTGTTTTATTTCATCGTCTTAAGGAATTTTGACTTGGATGGGACTATCTAGAGAAAGTTTCTGTTGTTTTGAGTTTTTTGATAATGTCTTTATTCTGTTTGGAAAAGCTTGAGAAATAGAAGAGAAGAAGGAACTGAAATGGTTGGAAAGGTCACAATATAAGGAGGAGATCAGATCTTTGGAAAAGCTGCTTTTTCAGTTTTTATCCCATAACTGTAATTTCAAACTTGGTTTTGTATTGATTAGGGTTGCATCTTGGCAACAAGAAGTTTTTTAAACCCTTTCCCAACCTTCTTATTTATGGACAATATGATGTTTCCCAGGGGAAGAGAAAGAATGAAACACTGCACAAAGCAAGATCAGAATAGAAGATAGATGCTGTTAAATTTTATTTAAAGTGGAATTCAAGAAGCGCTTGGAAAATGCTCTCAGGCATTGTCACTGATAATACCATCATTACTGTGATTCTCAGGGTGGTCCTGTGCAGAGCCAGGGGTTGGACTTTGATGATCCTTGTGGGTCCCTAAACACTATGATTCTATGATTAACTTTGATTTTTGACAAAGTTTATTTTAACTTATTGCTTTCCTGAGAAGTTCTTGTAATAGCTTCATACTAAAGCAGTAATCTGTATTGAAGGGTGTAGTGTCTGTTGTTCTTTTCTGTCGTTTGAAGTGCACAGCTTTTTAGCAGTGTTGATCTTTTATGAGTCATAAAGTAATCTTGAAGCAAGTTCAGGAATCTTCAGTTTCATTTGTAGGTGTCTCTGTGAATTTTGAGATCAGATCTGCTCCATGCTTTGCACATCCCCTAGTGGTCATCACTCTTGGGTTTTTTTTCCTGCTTAGGCCTTGAAGAATTAGGCCACCAAAAAAAAATGAAAGCTCTATCTCCAGGAATTATTTCATCTTTCAGAGAGAGGAGGTCCAAGATTTGCACATATTAGTTGACTCCAACCATTTACAAAACTCTTCCTGCCTCTGACACTTTTTCTTGTTTCCACTTCTTTCTCTTTCATTCCTTATTCCACACATTTGTTCTTCAATTTCACAGCAGTATCTCTAGCTGTTCCTCTTGGGAACCATCTTGCCTTTTCTTGCAATATCCCACACACTACTGTATTGCTGTTCATCATTGCATTGTTAGTCCTCTGTCACACTTAGGATTGATTCTTCCCAACCTCATTTACCTGTACTGTGTCTAAACAGATAGCCAAGTGAACAAATGCTTCTCACTTTCTCTGTAGTCAGTGCAGAGAAATAGTCGTACCAGCCTGTCTCATTTCACCTGTTTTAGACTTCAGTGCAGGAGGAGTTGTGCTCTAGTCTCTGTTAACTGTATTAACAAGACTGCTTATCAGTCAGAAAATTGGCTGCTTTTTGTGCCTTTTGTTTGTTGGTTTTTTTTAGTCCTTGTAATCAGTACTTTTCTGAATGTCCTTCAAATCTACTTGCATTCCTTATCTCAGAAGCTCTCAATAATCTCAATTCGTCTTCTCAAGCATGGCATGAGAGTGGTAGTCCATGGTAGCCTGTGTCTGTCTTCAGTGGCAACAGGAAATGTTTTTTGAGATCCTGATAAAACTGTGCCCATGTTCCACCACTTCTAGCCAACAAGAACTTCTGATCTCCAAATAAAAGACTTTCAGTCTTTTTTGGTCTGTTGTGTAGTGGCTGTCCTATGTGCCTGATGATTTACTTCCCCATCACTGTATCTACTCCTTGACTCCAGTCCATCTTTATTGAGAAGCAAAGATCAGTAACTGCACAAAGAACTCTGAGTACAGTAAGCTTGATGTTTATTGGCATTTGGCTGCCCCTAGGTGCTGAGCACATAGTTTTTATGAACTGCCAATGACTGAGGTGTCTGTACTAAGTTGTACCTACTGGATATACACCAGTCACATTCTTACTACAAAGATTTTCCTCTATAGCAGCTGCCACTTTATAATTGTCCATCTCTCTCAAGAGTGACTTGAAATAAGTTTAAGATTTTGAAAATGTTTTCAGGGTTGAGTAAATACTTTGTTGTCTTTTGTGTGATGTGGTACACTCTGCACTTTGGTTGCAGTAAATGAAAGCTTGCAGTAACATGAGTCAGTCCTGGACATAAGACCTGAACTAGTGTGGGTACTGGTTTACCTTCAAAATGTTTCTAATACATCATAGACTTTCTCTACACAAATTCTCTTGGATCAGTGAATAGCTCCATTTTGGAGGAAGTAGAAAGCAGAAAGTCAGCAGGTTGCAAAATACAGTCTCTCCTTTTTGCAGGATCCAAAAATGTATGTACAGACCGTGTTGGATGTCCATAAGAAGTACAACGCTTTAGTCATGTCTGCATTCAACAATGATGCTGGCTTCGTGGCTGCACTAGACAAAGTAAGTGCATGTAGTGGCAGATGCTGGACTTGTTTGGGTTTTTTTCCATGCAAAATAAAAAAAATTGTCTCCCAAAATTTCACTGTCTTTTGTGATTTATAGGCTTGTGGTCGATTTATAAATAATAATGCAGTAACAAAAATGGCTCAATCATCCAGTAAATCCCCAGAGCTACTGGCACGATACTGTGACTCTTTACTAAAGAAAAGGTATGTCCTCAAAGACAAATGACTATTTCATGTTGGCTTTTATTTTAAAAGGTTTTAACCTATGAAGTTTTATACTGTCTTCAGAAGCACAACTTCATTTTGCAAGAAATTAATTTATCAAATTCTGGATCCAAGAATTTCAGTGGGACCATTCCTAAAGGTTGTGTTGTTTGGTATTCTTTTTAAGGAAAAATGGAGGAAATAAGCAAACCTTTCTTGCCTTATAGGAATCTTAAGTTTTTTTGTTTTTCAGTAAAACTGAAGGAGGTAGGGTTTTTTACACTGAAAAACTTAAATTGCGTTGTATCTTGTAAAGAGATGCACATTCCCTTTTTCCATTAAAACTGTTGCTTCCCTCCTTTTGTTTTTTCTATACCTTCTTCTATCTGGGCAGAAATTGAGGAGAAAAACTGCTTTCTAACCTTTCATAGTTCATATTTTAATTCAAGGTATTTGGCTTTAAATGATTCAGCAGCTCATAGCCTGAGTTGGCATCAGTTCAGTTCATACTGGATTGGTGTCAAGTTTTGTCCCATTTCTAGTTGTTTTGGCAGAGGAAAAAAAGCCACCACCAAACAACCCAAAAATGGGAGAACTTGCTCACTTTTCTCTTTCCCATCTCCTCCTTCATTCAGCAAAGGGTTTATTTTCTCCTTTGCAACTACTGACTGTGTACAGGGTAGATTTGCGGTTTGCCTGGGGCAAACATGAGATGGAGGTAGACAATGTGGTGCCACCTGAGCTTTTACCCAGTCAAGTCCCAGCTCTGTGAGCTGGTTTCTTCTCACTGTACTACCTAAGATAAGAAATAAAGATAGCATTTAGCAGTAGGAAAAGAGAGGTCCATGTTTAAGCTCATAAATCCTGAAAAATACCAGGCTACCAGCAAGTCCCAAGCAAGTTGTGGTCCAGGACTTCAGCCTGTGACATATGGGAAGTTCAGAATTGCTGACAGGTGGAGCAGTGAACTGTTCACTTCATTACATTGTTTTCTCTTTAAAGAGCTTTTGATCCCAGAACTACTCAAATTTGCATTCTTTGATTTCTAAAGCTTCCATATGCATCCATATGTTGGTTTAATTCTGCTGGTTGGGACTCATTAAAAATGCACTTCTTTAATTGCAGCTCAAAGAATCCAGAAGAAGCAGAGTTGGAAGATACACTCAATCAAGTGGTAAGATGTCTATAAATACATACAAAATATAAAAATTGTATTATTTTGTTTATTAAGAAACCCTTTACAGCAGATTTAAAGTGGCTATATTGAAGTTATGCTTTTGCTTAATCTGTATATGCATATAACATATATAATTTCCATGACATCTTTTTATATCATATATCCACATATATGTAATATGCTCTACATGTGGAATATACAGTTCTTGTTTTAAAATAGTATTCATATTTAAAGCAAATTCCACCAGTCCCTCCACCCTGTCTCAAAAAAGCCAAAAAAAAAACTCCCAATCTTTAAAATTTAGGTGCAAATCAAGTAGTTCCTGCTACATCTTTTTCAAGACAAATGTTTAAATATTTTTCCCTTACAAATTATCTTGGCTTTTCCAGATGGTTGTCTTCAAGTACATTGAGGATAAAGATGTGTTTCAAAAATTCTATGCTAAAATGCTGGCAAAGAGACTTGTGCATCAAAACAGTGCTAGTGATGATGCTGAGGCAAGCATGATCTCGAAACTAAAAGTGAGTATTCCATGACTGTCCCATAATCTACTGCCTTGCAGATCTTCACACTGTTTGGGAAAGCACTGACATGCATCCTTTCATTTATTTTATGCACAGAAAAATACACAACTTATATATTTTTTTTTCTTTTTTTTCTAATCATATGAATTTGTAGTGCATGTCTGCCTGATGGAGCTAAGCTTAATTATTCTTAGCCATATGAATGACATGGATTTAATTATTCAAGGGAATGAGTACTGAAAAGTAGCTTAATTTTCTTAATCATATTTAGGCAGAGTTAAGCAAAATACAGTTGACTACCCTTTGAGTAGTCTGTTTCATTGTGTTTTGCTTAACTTTTAACAAAATTTTTGTCAGTTTTCAATGGCAGGTAAAGCTCATATTCCAGGGGGGATGGGCACTTTGAGTAAGGGAAATATGGAACTTTCTACATCTTCTGTTAAGGAAATAAGTTCCAACACTTTGTTCTTCTCATTAGCCAGTGTCCAAAATGTGTCTTACTGATGTTTCTGTGCTTTTAAATGCAGCAAGCTTGTGGTTTTGAGTATACCTCCAAGCTGCAGCGGATGTTCCAAGACATTGGTGTAAGCAAGGATTTGAATGAGCAGTTTAAAAAGCACCTGACCAACTCGGAACCATTAGATTGTAAGTAGCACCTTTACCTAAGTTACTGTTGCATAGTATAGTTTCCTCTTATTGCTGCAGAACTAAGCGTGTGAGGGAAATATGTGACTTACTCATATTGCCACAAATTAGAGTGCTGACCATGATAGCTGGGATGTTTAAATTAGGTCTTTAAATTCTAGGTCTGTTCTTTGTCTTCTAGTAGCTCTTTATTTATTTTCTGAGTAGCCTCCTCCTGATTTTAGAGCTCACATTTAGGTACATAACTTAATTAAGTTGAATACTGTCTCATCTTTTTTTTCCCTTTTCTTATGCTTGATTGGAGAGATGTTTTTCTTTAAACAGTTTTGATTTTTAACTGTTTAATACTTAGACTTATGTGAAAGTATTAAGGATATTGTTTTCCAGGTTGTTAGATGCCACTATCACTTTTTTATGCTTTCCTTTTCAACTGAAGCACATTGAACCAAATTCTGTCAAGAGTTGATAATTATATCTTGGATTACAATTAGAGTTGTGTATCATCAGGTTTAAATTTTACTTAGTTTTTCTATTGTTTGTACTTGACCAAAATACCTTACAAGTATAGGTGTGAAGGTCTGTTCTGGGAGTTGTGTATTGTGGAGTGATGATGAACACTTTCTCTTTTAACACCCAAGTGGGAAAATTGTAACTCATTGTAGGGATAGAAACAGAGTAATAACTTCTCCAAATAAGAGAAGATTGAGTGCCTGTAACAGTAAATCTAAAGCTCTCCAACTGCAGGGAAATCTCTCATGAACAGCTTTGGTTATGCTCTGACAAAAATAAAATAGTGCTTAATGATTTTTTTACCATGTTAGTTTGACCATGAATCAGAAACATGTCTGTGTAAGAACTGGGACTGTGTGTGAAGAGGGAGTTAGGAGAAAGTGGGATAATGCAGCTGATCCTCTTCTCCTGTCTTTCAGTGGATTTCAGCATCCAGGTGCTGAGTTCTGGATCGTGGCCGTTCCAGCAGTCCTGCACATTTGCTCTGCCATCTGAGGTGAGGCACTTGCTCTTGGTTCATCTGAGCATGGAATGATCCTGAGAGAAATTTTTTTACAAGGCTGTCTCCTTCCATTCTGCTGTGTATCAGAGAGGACTATAAATGTCTCTGATATTTGCCTCTTTGGCCTGAGGATATTTGGAACAAGATAATTGAGTAAGGTAGTAGGAGAGAGCTGTGTGAAATCTGTGTTTTCGTATCTTTCCCATGAAAACTCCCTGGTTAATGAATCTTTCTCCAAAATATTCAGCAGCAACTAAAGCAAATCCTTGTTAGTACATTTTTCTGGGTTTGCTTAATTTAAGAAACCTTTTCATACCATTGCTTCAGCTTTGCCCAGTAAAATCTTTAGATATTATAATCAGTTTTCTGCTGAGTGCTTATCCAGGAAAAAGACATGAATATTTAACATGAGAAATAAATTTAATGCTGTTACCTGGAGGATGAAGGTGGTTAAAACAAATTACTTTTCTAGCCATGCTTAATGTTTCATAAATGGAAGATTGAACCTTAAATGCTGTTTGCATTTGTACTGTTAATGATATTTTAAAGGAGAAATTTATAACAGAGAAATTTTTCATCCAGTCTGCCAAATTTGAATACTTTGAGTTTCCATTCGGGCTATTTAGACAACATGGTGGTTGAGGGTGATCAGATTTGATTCCATAACGTGTTCTAGTAATGGTAAAGGAAGGTAGATAATACTTTATTTATTTATTTATTTATTTATTTGCTACTCATGTTTTTATACAGTTAGAACGGAGCTATCAGAGATTTACTGCATTTTATGCCAGTCGTCACAGTGGAAGAAAATTAACATGGTTGTATCAGCTGTCCAAAGGGGAATTGGTTACCAACTGTTTCAAAAATAGATACACATTACAGGTAAGGACAAGTCATACCAATAGAAACACTTGGTGATGGCTGTTTTCAGAGGACTGCATGCAGCCAGTAGAACCTTTATATATATTTATTTTATTTACTATAAACACAGATCTTTAGTATCAGTAAAATTGGCTTAGGAAATGGAACACATCACCTGTGGTTTGAATGGTGCTGAAATGCATTTTCTGAGATAAATGAAACCTCTTTGCCTAGGATCTCATGCTGCTTATACTTTCCTGTCTGCTTTCTCTCAAAAAGTAGATGGGAGAAGAAACAAGATAGTGTCAGACTTTGACCTTGTCATCATAGGTTAACCCTGTGATGATAGAGATGGATCAGCTACTGATAGCTGTGTGGTGTATACATTTGGTTTCATTATTCTGCTGGAGTTGGGAGGGTTGTGAGGATGAATTCAGCAGTCTGTATTGGGTATAGTGCAGATTAAATGGGCAAGAGTTGGAGTGACAGAGGAAAACAACTTAAAACTGTATTGGCAAATACAAGGATTATGCTTTGATGTCATAATAGACAATTTGATGGAGTGTCTGAAGCAAGCTAAATGATTCTAATCCTGGGGTTTATGTTTAGATAATGCTGGAAGGGGGAGTTTTGGTTGTAAAAGCAACATTTAATTCTTTTTTTTATTATTAGCACCACTTGGGTATTCTCTGTTGTCCAAATATTCCAGTGTATGTGTTTAACTGGTGTGTTTCAGGCTGTTCAAATTCAGAAAGTGTTTGTAAGTTCTCATTTTTTGATTTCCCCCCTCTCCCCTGTGTTCTTTGTTTTTGGATTTGTCAGGCATCCACATTCCAGATGGCAATTTTACTGCAGTATAACACAGAAGATGCCTACACTGTGCAGCAGCTGACAGACAGTACTCAAATAAAAATGGTAGTGACTTTGCATGTTTTACCACACTCTTGTGAGCAAGTGTTTTGGTCTTCAGGGCTCTTCCTGCTATCATAAGAAATTTGGATTACATATGCTTGGAGCCAGAACCAGCTTCTGTCCCAAAGGAGACAGATGTGCTCTATTCTTGGTCAATTCACTTTCCTGGTTTACATTCCTGTAGTCATAACTGCCTGGTCTTCTGATGAGTCTTAGTGCATTTACACTCCTGCTCATGACTGGAGTGAATTGTCTAGCTTCCTGCTGAGCTCTGGGTAGAAGTTTTCAGTGTTTCAATGCATACATTTTAATGTTAAAAGACAACATTTTAGCAAAACCAGCATTTTCCTTAAATGATTGATCTATGCATCTGTCATTCTTTTATATCTCAAGGCTTTTTTACATGAACATAGTAAATCTGCAGTTCATTGGCCAGCTCTCTCCTGTGGAAAAGGTTCCCTCCTTTTCTTCTCAAGCAGGCTTTATGGCCCTCAATTTGACATTTATTTGACCTTTAGCAGTATGTTTGAATCAAGCCTGCTCTGACTTCTGGAAAGTTAGGTATTTGTATTCATTAGGATCTTTACTTCTAGAAATGCATACCTAGAAATTATTGTTGCTCATGGATTACAGCAAACCCAGAAGTCTTAGGAGGTTGTCATTTATTACAGACTGTGGTAAAAGAGCAGCTTTGCAGGCCTGCACAGAATATTGCCAGTAGCCTTCTGGGTGAGCAACCAACAACAGCAACCAGAACTGATCCCTGTTAAAACAAAAAGATGTTAATCAGAAAGCAGAGAGTGCTTGCTTTCTGAAGTTTAAGCTTGCCACGGTATATATATTTGCATGGTTTGGGAAAAATTATTTCTTAGGCATATAAGTCTGCTTTCAAAATAGTTCCTAAAGCAGCAACTGGAAAGAATCTCTTGTTTGGAATTAGTATTTCTCAAGAATTTTATTATATTTGACCAACCACAAGGGGGGATACATCATAACACCCAAAAAGGACATTGTTTTATTTTTGTGAACTTAGTTTTTACTGCTTTTTCTTGCCCCTTCATCTTGCAGTGTTCTGCACTCATTAGTTCTTAGTCTAAATATGTTCATTCTTGTTCAAGTTTTTAAGTTAGACAAAGGTGCTGTCTATCTGTACTGATCATGTCTTATATAATTTTGTAGGATATCTTGGCACAAGTTCTACAGATACTCTTGAAATCAAAATTGCTTGTAAGTACTCTTGCTTTCTCATGACCTGCTTAACATACAGTGAAATATGTTAGACTATTTATTTATTTATGTGTTTGTTTGCTTATTTATTGCAGGTTTTGGAAGATGAAAATGCAAATGTTGATGAAGTGGAGTTAAAACCAGATACTTTAATCAAACTGTATCTTGGTTACAAAAAGTAAGCAGCATGAATCACTTAGATCTAATGAGTAGCATCTTCCTCTGCTTTCAAAATCTGGGTGAAACGCTTTGACTTTGTCATAAAGTCATAAAAAAAGTCAAGGCCTGATGTATTTTCATATGTCCTTTTTGTTCCTCAATTTTTGTCTAGTTCTTGAATAGTTCATTCAAGTGCTGCCATTTTGCCAAGGTGTTATTCACAAGCACTCAGCAAATCCATGATATTTTATAAGGTTACAGTAGTGTCCAGTGACCCACAAAGGTCAAAGGCATAAATGTTCATCCACTACTGCTAACATGAGAAGATCAGGCTTGTTTTATAACCACGGTGTATACAGTGATTTGGAGACTTAATAAACACAATTTTCAGTAGGTTTTATTACTTACTTTAAGCAGTTGTGTATTTTAAGCTGTTTACAGCACTGTGGTACTTCTTATCATGCTTACCAGAGCATAGATATAAACACACATAAATTCAGTGAGGAGTTCCGTGCTTCCTGAAGATAAGATCTCAGGTGAAAGAAACATTTTAAAACCTTTCCTTGTACTTCACCTTTTAACTGCTTTCTATCCCCCTTTACCAAATTAAAGGTTTGAGAATTCATGGTCTGTTGCATTAATGCAGTGATGGAAACAGCTCAGGGTTGCTGCATTGTGCAGCAGCTGCTTCCCAATTTATGATGGAGAACACTGTGCTAAATAAATAACAGTGCAGCTAACAAACAGGCTGAGCAGAGCCCTGTGCTCCCTGGTGCTGAGGTTTGCTCCCCACTTGTGACACAGGACCTTGTCTTGAGTGGCCACATGTGGCAGTGGGCTCACCTCAGCACAGCTGTCAGTGCCAGGGAGCCTGTGAAAGAAAGGCAGAGCTCAGTTCCACAGAACAAACAGATTTCTCCACATTATGGTCAGAATCCTGTCTGTAAATCAGAAATTCTGTAAATCAGATTCTGTTTCCATTGCCTTCCTTTGTCCCCTTCACTGACTCCAAACTTCTTACCACACACAGAAATATTTTGAATACAGTGTAACTGTACAGTGCTAGTTACACAGATCACTAGGATGGATTCAGTAAGCTGTGAGATACCAGCAAGTTAGTTTGTTTCATTGGTTGGTTGTGGGCATTCTTTATTTTTATTTTAATCTTTTTTAACTTGAATAAGAGCATCTCAGGTTTTCAGAAGAGCCAAAGTCCTGTATTGTTGTAAAGTAATTATGGTGCTATGGCTTTTATTTTGGAGTTAGGTTTTGTTTGGTGTTTTTTCTGTTTCTTAGGTTTTTAAACAGTCTAATTGTTCATTAACTTCTGCTTTTCTTTACAGCAAAAAATTAAGGGTAAACATCAATGTGCCAATGAAGACTGAACAGAAGCAGGAGCAAGAAACTACACACAAAAATATAGAGGAAGACAGGAAACTACTGATTCAGGTGAGTTTTATTGCAGAATGCTGTCATGAACTCAGAATCACATCTTTGTAATCATTTAATGAAGCTTACTGTAGGGTTTTCCCAACTTTTACTAGAAGACAACTACATTGCTCTCACTACATTAGAGTTCAAAAAATTTATTTAAAGTACTCTTAATGGTGATTTGAGTCTGTAGTAGAAACTGGAGGAAGGCACTTCTACAGAGAGGATGTGTTCATTCACATTGTTCTAACCTGATGTTGATGAGTTTTTGGGTTCCTTGGATACACTTTCACCAGACCTTGTCCTTGGTGAAAACTGAAAAATAAAAGAATAGTAATACCCAGGTAGCATGAAATCAGCATTGGTTTTATATCAGTTCATTTGGAATCCACTAGAGAAGCAGGGGAAGGAAATACAGATGCACCACTAAGACAGTGTCACAGTAAGGTTAAATATATAAAGAAGGCTTTTTGCTACACAAGCAGTTTTGTGTGGCTCTTGTTACCAGTTGGTGCTATTATTATTATGATTGACTGACTGTAAGCACAGTTCTAAAAATTCATGTGTCAAAACCACGTTTGATGCCTGTGTGCTGTGGAGACCCTGAGTCCTTGAAGTCTGTGTGAGTAGCTGACACTGTGGGCAAAGCTTCTCTTGTCTGGTGCTCGAGGTGGTGGTGGTGGTGCTTCTGCAGGGGCAGACATCACCTAGGGGAGTGAAATGGCTTTGCACAGAGGGACAGGTACTGTGCTCCTAAACACACCTTCCCAACTTTGCTGTGCAGGCTGCTATTGTGAGAATCATGAAAATGAGGAAGGTTCTAAAACACCAGCAACTGCTTGGAGAAGTGCTAACACAGCTGTCCTCAAGGTTCAAGCCACGAGTTCCTGTAATTAAGGTATGTGAGACCCACATCTTTGAACCTGGATTCCAGGAGGTGAGGTGGATATCTACACAGACAAAACACTTGCTTCTGAATTAAAAAGGAAAGCTATGGAGATGGGATGGGCAAGGACAGATTTTTTTTTTTGAGTTGCAAGTAGGAAATATTTTAACCAGAAATACTGCATTTCTCTTAGGGTACTATCCATGTTTCACATTGTTGGCAGTGGTGGTAAAATAGTAGCTGGATTGCATCTTTTTACATCAGTGTCAGCTTACCATTGCCCTTAATCCAGGCTTACCTTTTGTTCCTGTTCTCCCAGTTGTGGAACAACAGTCGGCCTTGGGGTTAACTCGATAAAAGTTTCCTGCTTTCCTTTACAGTAAAAATGTTGGGGAAGGGGGCATTGTATTTAATTATTTACTCATAATTATATTGATTATATTAATTATTCATGTATGTATATTAATTTCTTCATCAGTTTGTTTAAGTGAGCTCACCAGCAGTTTTTATATCCACAACCAAGCTGTAGGTGAGGCAAAGGACAGGAAGTGAGAGCAGTTGCATAAACTGGCACCAGGGCAGTTACACAGAGAGCCCCTCACTGCTGCTGCTGCTCTTTCATGACCTTACATAAGCTCTCTGCATCTTGGTGTAATTCTTTATTTGCTGTCTTACTATGAAGTTGTTCAGCATGCTGATGATTTCCCAATCATACCCCTGGAATGACATCCAGTAAGTGCAATTCAGTTTAGTGGATTAGCAAAACCTTCTGCTTGGATGTGGTCACAAAGAGGAGAGTGAACTGCTGTGGTTTGTGTCCTTTGCCTATTCCCATCCTGTTTGCCAGGGAACTCCCTTGGGGGGTCAGAATCAAAGTTTGGAGCAACCCCAGAGAGGGCTTTTAAGCCCATGTCCCACAGCTTACCTCTGTTCTGTTCCTCCCACAGAAATGCATCGACATCCTCATTGAGAAGGAGTACTTGGAACGTGTAGATGGTGAGAAGGACACCTACAGTTACTTGGCTTAGCATTTTTATTAGCAATGACCTGACTGTGTGACACTCGGCAAGTAGGTATGTGATGGAAAGAATGAAAGCGACAGAACTTCATAGCAGCCACCCTGCTGCCATTTGGACCTCCCTTTTTAATGACTGAGACCAGGACTCCATCAGCCAGTCTCAGATTTACATCAGAACTGCTCAGGATTGATACATTTCAAGTATGTAAATATGGACACCAATGCCATTTAACCTAATTTAAGAACAGAAAGGAATCAGACCCTTCTCGTTTAAGGGTTGCATGCTACTGCATTTAAATCAATACATTGGCTATATGATAAACAGCTGCCATCACAGGCAGCACTTATACATGTTGGCAGCACTTGGAGAGCGAGTCTGAATGGACCCATGTGTAATCTGCTATGAAAAACCATTTGTATAGTGTGTTTCATTTTTTAATGTGTGATAAATAATAAAAAAAATTTAAAAGATTTCTGTACAAGTTGCATTTGGTTTTATTGTTTTAAGTTTCATGACTTATCTTTCTAAATGTAAATAAAAGGTATAATGGTTATGAAAGCTATTAGAAATTCGTTTTGCTTTTCCTCCCCATTTTCTGGTGCTTTAAGAACATTTTGTTCTCTGAAGGTACTGTCATCTATCATTATCTGTGCATGTTACTTCTTTTTGAAGAGGAAATGTCTGCGCTTTGAAAATAAAAGAAATTTGTGATGATTTCACAAGATATGCAGAACAGAAAATGCTCAAAATATTTGTGGCAATGCTTGGTCATCTGAACTTGGAGCTGGTTTTAATATTGCTCATTGTGCTATAAAGTGTATCACCCTTGCATAAATGCTGCCGAGAACAAAGGAGATTCAGGCTGCCCATTTCTTTGACTGGAGTGGAGCAGAAAATTGAGTGTGCTCCTGAAGAACAATTCCCATTAAATCTAACCTGTGATGGGAATTAAAATACTTTAAAGTGTTACTAGACATACCTTGATTGACCAGGCCTCATTCCATTCTTCTCACAACATTTTATGAAATGTGTATTGGCATTCCATGTGCTACAAGCACAATGCTGCCATCCTCCCAGCTCTCACTATTGGTAATCTATATTTTCTAATCTTCATCGTGAAAAGAACTTCTGTAGCCATTTTACCCTTGATGCAAACTGTGATTTTGTTCACTGTTTCTTCTCACAGGAAAGGAGCCAGGTTTTCTGTTGCTAATGTTTCTCTCTCGAGGGAAATGGTTACAGTTGAACTCTGGGTTAAAAAAAAACCTGAGCAGTACTAGGAGAGGGGTGTCATCTGCACTTGAGATTTTGTACGCTTGCTATTTCTGTTCTGAAAGAGCTAAAGACTGCCATTGGGGCAATAGAAGCATCTTGCTGCTCAAAGTTGCTTTTGGAAATTTAGAAGAATGGAACTAGTGATGCCTCTTTTTTTTTTCCCCTAAGATGCTATTTTGTTTTTGTAAACCCCTTCTTGCAGAAAGTTCAGGGCTAATAAATTTCTTTAGCAGGATGTGTGTGCTATGATGACAAAGAAGCAGCCTGAACTCCTTTCTTAGTTGGAAGGCCAGAAATCACCTGCTCTGAGCTGCCTTTCAAAGCCCTTGGCTGGTTAAAGCAGTGCTTTGTGCACTGTGCATCCTTCAGAGCAGGAGCTGTTCTACCTGAGGAGGGAGAAAATCAGGCTTACACTTTTGGACTGTTCTTTTCCTCATGAACTCTTAGTTCTTACTTGGGCCACTACCAAGTGGAGGGCACGTGGCAGCTGCCTGCTGTACATGGAGTGTGGAAACAGGAAGAGCTGAACTCAGCCCCAGGCTTGGAGCCCCCTCAGTGCAGCAGGTAACTGGTCATGGACAGGATTTCATGCACTCAGTGTGGCAATAATGCCACCCTGTGCCTGCCCTCCCACTCCAGCTGGTTTGACCTGAGCATTGTATTCTACAGCACAAGCTAGAGTTCCATTAGTAGCAAGTAAGAAATAAATGTGGTAGCCCTGGACAATCTAACTGCAGTGTAAATGTTTCTGGATGAAAACTATGCATTTCTCTTCTGCATCTCTTAATTTTTTAACACAGGTGTAGTTACTGTTGTATTTATCATTCAGCTTGGTGCTTCAGAGAAGCCACAGTGAGGGCACCTTGTACCACAGCTTTGTCTTGAAAGTAGTGTTTGTCACAGAAATCACAGCTACTCTGGCAATTGCAGGAGTTCCTGGGCTGCAGCCATTCCTCCAGAGAACTTGGATGTAGCTGCATCCAAGGGAGCTGAGAAACTGCAAGACCACCCCTGTCTCACTCAGGCACTGCAGCACCAAGCACCTGACTGCCATCCACACTGTTTCCATCTTCACACTGATCTTAAACCCAGAGTAACAGAAGGAGACAAGTATGGAGCTGCCTTTGCACAAAAATTACAGGTTAAATTCACATTGCTTTCTCAAGGGGCTGACACAAAATTCCAACTCAATTCCAGTAAAAATGAAGAAGTTCAAGTATCCTTTATTCAAGGTTGAAAAATGTACCACACCACATTATTGCAAAAGTTCCTAGGTACAAAACACTTTGCAGCTGGTGAGAAGGCAATAAAAAGTTGGTTTTTTTTAAAATTCGTTACTATAAATTACTGTTACAGTACTTTGCAAATACAGAATTTCAAATTGCATCATTTGTATTTTTCTAAAATTGCCCACAGTACTAGAAATTCCTGAAGATAAGGCAGCTGTTTGTTTAAAAGAAGAGGTAGCTGGTGTCAAGGGATTTCCATTTCTCTTTCAATGCCCACATACTTAAGGGCATCAGCTTGGCTATATCTGAAATTAAGAAAAAAAAAAAAAAACAAAATCACAAAAAGCCAGTATCATGGAAGACTTCAGCTTCATTGTTCTGACAGAATGGCACCACAGCCTGGAATACTCTTATCCTTAGATTTCTCATTATTTCCTCACCAGCTGGGGTGTTTCCTCCTTGTGTGAATTTGCAGGTGCATAACGCTGCTGACCCACAAGAAACTACTTTCAGATGTGTTTGATCAAAGGAGACAAATCACTAAAATTCCATTCTTTTTCACCTTGACTGTCACAGTCCTGATGTTCATTTTCAGTACTGGAAAGCAACTTCTCCAGGCTGACCTACACAGTATTGCCAGTGGACAGCTTACTTTTTGCCAAGTAAGATGATTGTAGGGGACAGTAAGGACACATTCTTAGCAAGCATTTGTCTGTAGGAATTCTGAAATTTCATTCTCTGAAATTCTTGCCTATTTCTGAATGATGGGGGAGTTAACTTGTGCTGCTACCAAGGTAACCCAAGCAGAGAAAGTCTGTCCCCATTTGTCACTACACTTTGCTCTATACAAGCTGCTTTTCCAAGTTTGCAGGCTCTTAACCAGCTGCATTGCTCAAATCAGTCTTGCTATGGCATCTGGCTTGACAAAAGCAGTGTGGGGAGTGCTGCCTCTCAGCTGCTGAGACTTCAGGCTGCAGGGGCCAGGCAGGCACAGGAATTAACTCTGAGCTGTGCAGATACTGGAAGCGAATCCCACCTGAAATCCATCTACCCACCTGTAGTCAAAGAACAGTTCTTCACCAGTCTGAATGGCTCTTTTAGCAAATATTCCTATTCTGTGATCACCATTAACCATCATAACTGTTTTAAAAGAAATTAGCTATGTTAGTACAAATACTGGTAAAATGCATGTTAAAGAAATATCTCACAGTATTTCATACATTGATGAAAAGCAAGTAAATGTGAAACTTACCTTTTGCATAGCAGTTGGGATTTACTGAATGGTTTGCAAATCTAATTTTGTTGCCCTTGCGTGTTGCATCAACCACAAAATCTAGGGGGGGCAGAAAAAAACAACAAACCCCACAAATGTTGGATGGGTCACCTACAAACACGTTTTTGAGTTTAACACCTAGTGTGCTTGGATCTTAGCAGCTGGAGAAGACAACTGCACATCTTCCCCATGGAAGAGCTGGCCCACCACCCTACAACAGCTGAATTCTGCTGTTCCACATTGTGCTTTTCCTTTACCTCCTGCCACAGGGGCACCACCTTGGCTTCTCACTAAAGCTTCTCTACCTTTATTCCACAAGGACAAGCTCCATAAATATGCTAAGTCAACACTAACATAAAGCAGCAGGGTTTTTTTCCTCATTTCAACTATTTTCCAGTATTTTATGCTTGACACAGTGCAGTCTGTAAGTTACATACCACATGTGGCTTTTTTCCCCCCAACACAATTACCATCATAAATTACTGATTATTTAATTCAGTAAAATTACTTTAGACAACACTTTTTACATTCTTTAGTCTACTTAATGCCTGCACATAATTTTACTCCATGAAGTTCTACTCCTCTTGTACAATAGGCTCATCACTACATCTAGCTGACCAGCATTTAGAGAAAAAATCCCAAAGACTAGCTATCAGCAGGATGAATCCACACACTGATAGAGAAAGATGTGGGGAAATAAGTTCTCATTGTTACCTGCTGGCTGCAGAAGAACAGGGCTGAACAAAATGCTAAGCATACACACTTTACTGATGCTGCCAAGGGTTGCAACTAATGCATACATACCATTATTCAAGTTAAACAGAAAGCTGCACATGTATTTGTCGTACACTTTTCCTCTTCTGTCTGCCTCATCCTGAGAGATAATCTGAAAGAAACACCACTTGTAAAAGAGAGAAGCACTCCTCCATTGTGCAACCACGGCAGCTTAATGTCAGCCCCTCCCCAGCCTTTTGAAAGACAGGTGGGAGTTTTTCTATTCTCTGGGATTTAAAGTATTCTCAAAGTGTTGTTTTCAGCAAACATTCTGCACTTAGCAAACATCCATGCTTTGCTTTTAGCACACATAAACTCTTTCAGAGCAGAAGAAAAGCAAGAATTGCTTCTCCTCTCAAAATCAGGGCTGCATACCGGACTCAGGGTTTTATTGCTGCAGAATACAGCTTAGCAAAAGCTCCTACTGACTTTCAGTACTATACTAAATAATTTGCCACCAAATTCCAAGCATGTCTGAACTGAAATTCCATCTGAGATAAAAAGGACATTCCAGCCTCTCATTCTCACAAGAACCTGTTCCAAAATTTTTGTGACACTTCAATTGTGTAGCTCCTGGGATCTGAGGAGTGACAGCAGTCACAGCCTGTACCAGGTCACAGACAATGGCACCCATGGTTGGTCCCTGTCAGTGCAGAACTTCACCAACTAAGCTCATATCTGGTGCTCTCCATCCTTACCTCACCACAGTATTCAGAGATGAATTCATTCTTCTGTACAGGATCTTTGATAAAAATTCCCCAGCCTGCCACATCTGAAGGTGCCAATAGTAAGTGCTGTGGAATAGAAATACCAAGAAGTTTTGATATGCCTGACTTAGATTTGAGTTCAGTTTTTCTTTCCATTTTGTTTTGTATCGCTTAGTTGTATCACTTAGTGAAATGCATATGTTGGGACTCCAGGAATGCAGACAAATCCAGAGTCTTCTAATGATCAAACACACACTAAAATTACAGCTTGTGAATCAGAAGATGTATGTAAAAGAAAAATGACCAAGTATTTGAAAACTACTAAAAATTTTAGTTTAACCACCCCAAGACACCTTGAAATGAGGGGGTTACATAAAAATTCATTTACTAAAGACTTCAACCTCAAAAGGTCTGCAGCCAGGAGCCC